GATATCTGAGGGACCTCTGTGTATTGGCTCTACTTTTTTGCATAGTTGAAATTTCTCATAATAAAAGCTAAAATACAAAAAGGTTGTGGTAGAATTAAGTGTTCTGTGAAAAAATGTCCCAAATTTACTTCGTCAAAAATGGTGCAAGTTGGTACATACAGATTTTATGAAAAATACCAATTTGTTAAAAAGAAGTGCGTACGTGTGCATTCCAGAGTACTGTGCGCCACATTACATCAGAGGTGAGCTCTTCACGCTGTGTGAAGCTTTAGGACAGCGTTCCAGCCTGAAAACTGTACACTTCACCTTCACCACTGAATATATTGCTGTGATCTATTTTTGTGTCACACTTTATTAGCATTAGCAAGAACCTCCAGTAAAATTTTGAAGGACAGAGATTTCAGATTTCTGTAGGGGTCCATATCTGTAAGTTAAGCAAGTTTGCCTCTTTCCCAACCTAAATTCAGCATAGTTTGGTTTTTAAATCTGGAATCACATGTGGAACTCTACCAAACGTGTGGAACTATACCAAAAGTTTGCCTGTTAGTCCATGGGGCAGAGGTCAGGAAGATTTCTTTCCCATTCCCAACATTTCCTTCCTGCAGAGGGGTTTCGCTCAGGTGAGACTCCTCCCAGGGGAGACGGAAGTAGCTGGTCTGATACGGGGTCAGGGGTCGGGGAAGGTGGTATGAGGGGCAAGAAGTACGGATAACCCCAACCGCTTCCTCACTGATTCCTCCTGGGATCAAGCTGTCATCCCAGGAAGCACGTGCTGTCCACCTGGCCAATGCATAAACAGTGGGAAAGCACTGGGAAGGCCCAGCTCCCGGTGCCTGCAACAGTGACCATGTCTAACTTGTGATACAGCCCTGTGAAGCCCACTCGCCAGCAAATGTAAGTTGCATTCTCTAATATCAACTCTATTAATAATAAAGGTAGTATCCTTGTCTCCCTTATGTGGTGTTCTTTTGTTCCACTTTTCAATCGTTTCAGAATTGAGGTGTTCTAGTTAGTTAAGGTCAGGTCAGGCTGCTGTAATAAAGACACCTGCATGATAAAGAGATTTCAGTTGCTTAACGAGGGTAGAGAGAATCTGTCCTGTCAGCCTGAGATGAGCATCCTGGCTGTCCCACTCCGTCACTTAGGGCTCAGGTTTCTTCTGTCACATAGTTCCATTGTGTCCTAGGCCTTGTCGTTGCATGCTTGAGGCTAGGACCCTGGGCAGTCCAAAGGGTGGGAAGGGAAAAAGTTTGGAGCAGGCACATGCACTGTCCTAAGGCTCCAAGTTCACTATTTATTTTACTTAGATTTTATTAACAAGAACACAGTCACATGGACACTCACCTAATTGCAAATGAAGTTGGTAAAGGTAGCTACAATTCTATTACAATGCAATTCCAATTAAACTCTCAGAAGGATTTTTTTTTTGAGAAAGGATAGATCAATAGGGCAATGGAACAGATTAGAGTGCCCAGAAATTAACTCACATGTATATGGTCAAATGATTTTGAGAAAGTTACAAAGACAGCTGGATGGAGAAAGAAAAGTCCTTTCAACAAATAGTGCTGGAACAAATGGATATTCAGGTGTAAAAACTGAACTTTGGGCCGTATCTTATACCCTGTACAAAAATTAGCTCAAAATGGATCATAGTTCAAATTCTAATCTGTTTATTATAAAGTTTTGGTGGTTACCAATAGAGACACTATAAACATTCACATGCAGGTTTTTGTGTGAATATAGGTATTCATTTCACTTGGATAAGTATCTATTATTAGGATTGCTGGGTTAAATGATAATTGTAAGTTTAACTTTATAAGAAACTATTGGACAGTTTTCCAGAGTGGTTGAATGATTTTGCATCCTCACCAACAATATATTGAGATTTCCAGTTGCTCCAGATGCTTGTTAGAACCTAATAGTACCAGCTCTGATGGTGGTCATTCATTTGTGATCTTCATTGAATCTGCCTAATGACTAATGATGTTGAACATCTTTACATGTGTTTACTTACCACCTATATTTTATTTGGTACAGTATCTATTTAATCTTTTGCCTATTTTAAAAGTTAATTTTTTTTATTATTGGGTTTTGAGAAGACTTTATATATTCTGGATTGTAAATCCTTTAGAAGCTATGTGATTTGTAAGTCTTTTCTCCTAGTCTGTCGCTTGTCTTTTCATTCTCTTAACAGTGTCCTTTAGAAGTTCTTCATTTTGGTGAATTCCAAATGTATCAGATTTCCTCTTCTACAGATCTTGCTTTTGGTGTCAGAGCTATGAAATATTTATATAACTTGAGGTCATAAATAATCTCCCCATTTGTTCTTCAAGATGTTTTATGGTTTTAGATTTTACATTTAGGTCTATGATCCATTTTTTAAAAACCACCTGCCTCTTCCCATGTCCCTCCATTTGGAAGAGTTACTAAATTCCTGTTAGAGCTGGTCCTGCCCAAGCCCTACCCAGACCTGGGGACTGGCGCTGAGTGGGCCACACCTGGGCAGTGGCAGGAGTCTGTGTCACCAATAGAAGCCCTCAAGAACTCTGACCCACCCCCCTGCTGGACTTCATCATTCTGGGCTGGGGTGGCAGCAAAGCGGAGCTCTATGACCAGAAGATGGCCTGCCCTTGGCTTGGTGCCTGGACCTGGTCCAGGGCTGACTGAGGCTGAGTCACAAGGTAGGGTGTTGGGGTCAGGGCTCAGAGTGACTTTTCTCCATTTACAATCCCTCCTGGCCTCCAAGTCAGCAGAGGATTCCAGAAGAGATGCAACCTTTGTGGCCCCAAGAAGCAGAGCAAGAAATCCCAGAGAGAGGATGCAGAGAACAAAGGGGCAGAAAGAGGATGGGAGGTAACAGCGGTGCGGGGACAGAAGAGGCAGGGAGCAGGATGGGGGACAAGGAGGACAGCAGAAGAGGACCAGGAGCTGGGGGACAGGGGAAGAGAGGGGGTGAGGAGTGAAAGGATAGAGGGACAGATGGGGTGGAGGGGACACAGAGCATCAAGTGGCCAAATGCAAGAGACATTGGCCCTGAAGCCGCGTGTGTCACAGAGTGGAAGGTCCTAATGTGAGAGTAGGTGTGGGTGTGTGAGTTGGGTACATGTGTCCTCTGTGTCAAGTCTGTGGCGCCTGCATTCCTCTGGGTGTGCCTGTGGTTCTGAATGTGTGTTTCGGGGTGTATGTCTGTGACTGTGGTCAAGGATCATGGGGCATGTCCCTAACAGTTATTTTCTTGTTTGTTCTTATTTGTGTGTGTGTGGTTTGTGTGTGTGTATTGGGGGTGGGAGTATAGCTAAGGACTCAGTGGCGCCTGAGGGAGCCCTTGAGGGACTTTGTTTTCTCCTGAACAGATAGCATCTGGCTGTCCTTCTGCTGGCTCTGGAGTGAGCAAACCCCCATCAACACACACACACACACACACACACACACACACACACACACACACACGATGACACAGGTACACACAGCACAGCCTTGGATGAAATAGCCAGTGGACTGGGGATCTAGGGACATGGATGGGTCCCTGAAGCTGTTTGTGTCTCAGCCCCCTGCATGTAAATGGGGACAGGATGCCCAAGCCCTACCCAGACCTGGGGACTGGCGCTGAGTGGGCCACACCTGGGCAGTGGCAGGAGTCTGTGTCACCAATAGAAGCCCTCAAGAACTCTGACCCACCCCCCTGCTGGACTTCATCATTCTGGGCTGGGGTGGCAGCAAAGCGGAGCTCTATGACCAGAAGATGGCCTGCCCTTGGCTTGGTGCCTGGACCTGGTCCAGGGCTGACTGAGGCTGAGTCACAAGGTAGGGTGTTGGGGTCAGGGCTCAGAGTGACTTTTCTCCATTTACAATCCCTCCTGGCCTCCAAGTCAGCAGAGGATTCCAGAAGAGATGCAACCTTTGTGGCCCCAAGAAGCAGAGCAAGAAATCCCAGAGAGAGGATGCAGAGAACAAAGGGGCAGAAAGAGGATGGGAGGTAACAGCGGTGCGGGGACAGAAGAGGCAGGGAGCAGGATGGGGGACAAGGAGGACAGCAGAAGAGGACCAGGAGCTGGGGGACAGGGGAAGAGAGGGGGTGAGGAGTGAAAGGATAGAGGGACAGATGGGGTGGAGGGGACACAGAGCATCAAGTGGCCAAATGCAAGAGACATTGGCCCTGAAGCCGCGTGTGTCACAGAGTGGAAGGTCCTAATGTGAGAGTAGGTGTGGGTGTGTGAGTTGGGTACATGTGTCCTCTGTGTCAAGTCTGTGGCGCCTGCATTCCTCTGGGTGTGCCTGTGGTTCTGAATGTGTGTTTCGGGGTGTATGTCTGTGACTGTGGTCAAGGATCATGGGGCATGTCCCTAACAGTTATTTTCTTGTTTGTTCTTATTTGTGTGTGTGTGGTTTGTGTGTGTGTATTGGGGGTGGGAGTATAGCTAAGGACTCAGTGGCGCCTGAGGGAGCCCTTGAGGGACTTTGTTTTCTCCTGAACAGATAGCATCTGGCTGTCCTTCTGCTGGCTCTGGAGTGAGCAAACCCCCATCAACACACACACACACACACACACACACACACACACACACACACACACGATGACACAGGTACACACAGCACAGCCTTGGATGAAATAGCCAGTGGACTGGGGATCTAGGGACATGGATGGGTCCCTGAAGCTGTTTGTGTCTCAGCCCCCTGCATGTAAATGGGGACAGGAACTCCTGGTCACCAGTTCTGGGGCTCTCTGTCTCTCTTACTTTCAACGTCTCTCTCTCTCTCTCTGTCCCTCTCTCTCGATATCGTGTCCACCAGCGGCAAGTTCCCTCTCTGCTTTACTTCTACCCCTCTGCCGGGGAGTCCCCGCCAGCCCGTGCCCCCAGGTCGCCCCTTGCAAGTTCCTTGTAGAACTCAGCGGGGGAGATCGCGTCCCCGGTAGGACCCCGAACTGGCCGGAGTGGCCCTCTTCCCCCGCCTCCCCTCCACTCCCTCCCGCAGAGACCGAGACGGACACCGCGCTGCTTTGAGAAGGTTTATTTGTGGATCTCGGGGGACGGGACAGGCGGGCTGTTCAGTAGACGCCGGGCTGCGCTGGCTCGGCGGGCTCGGGGGCCCCCGCCAGCTGCACCAGCCGCAGCAGCAAAGCCCCGGTCGGCCCGTCCAGCTGGGTGGCGTTGCTCCGGTCGCTGGCGCGGGCGCGGCGGAGGAAGCCGGCGCCCTCCCGGCACTCGGGCTCCGTCACGCAGCTCTCTGCGGAGAGCAGGGGCTGAGCTCGCGGCGCGCCCCGTGCCAGACCCCGCGCCACCCCCGCCCGCCCGAGGCCCCCCGGCCGCTCACCGTCGTTGCAGCAGATGCCGGCGGCGGCGCAGCGGCCCCCGCTCCCGCACGGCTTCTGGCCCGACTGGCAGGGCGACGGCAGGTAGTTCTCCTCCTGGCAGCGCAGCGCCTCGGCCGTGCCCACGAAGCAGCCCAGCTCGTCCCCGCAGCAGATGCTGGGCCCGAAGCAGCGCCCTTTGCCCCCGGGGCCGCAGGGGAGGCACTGCGGGAGGCGGGGGTGAGCGGGCGCCGGGCGGGGCGGGCCCAGGGGTTGGGGGACCCCGCGAGGCCGGGGAGGGCCGGGCGGAGGAGCGCCGGGACGCGGGGTCGCCCTGGCGCCGCTTTGGCCCGGAAATCGGTCGAAGGAGGGAGTCTAGCCCGCTAATCGCCCTTGGTTTTCGGGCGACTGAGGCCCGGCGTTCAGTGACAGCCCTCAGCATCCTACCCCTTCCTTGAGGCGGCGGAGGGGTCATGGACTACAAGGAGAGACCTTATTTCTCAGCTTTGGGCCGCCAGTGCTGTGCACCCTTCCCTCCACTGCCCACCGCCCTTCCCATAATACAAACCTGCCTCCCTGTCCCCATTACTCAAGCTCAATCTGTAACCCCCACTCCGCTCTGCCCCCCTGCAGAGAGGGCCCCTGCCCTACCCTGAGCACGTCAGGTCCTGCCTCCCATTTCTTGTCCCCTCTCTTGGGTTGTCCTACCCCACCCCAAGCTGGTGGGCCTCACTGGGGCCCCGACTTCTTCTAACCTGCCCATGGATTAACTCCGTGGGGGGGCAGCAGCCTGATCACTAGAGGAGGGCATGAGGCATCCAGGTGACTCAGGTTTCCAAAGGTGCCAAGCAGAGGGATGTGTAGTCTGTGGGGGCTGCCCACCTACCCACTCTAGTTTGCTTGACAGCTCAAAATTGAGCCACATGTGACCTGGGCAGAATGGATTATGGCGATTGCATTTCCTTCAGCTCTGCTGTAAAAAGGAAATGGAATAAAAGGGAATCCACTGGACATTCAGCATGAGAGGATCAGGCTAGGTACCCAGCAGAACTTCCCTCCAGGTTGTGTGAGTGGCACCTCTCAAGCAAGCTCAAAGCAGTAGCCAGCTTCTGTGTGGGGCCCAGAGGGCCTGTGGCTAAGAGAGGCTGGGGGCTGGATGGGAAAGGCCCCCAACACTGGGTAGGCCAAAGAAAGGCTCTGATGCTCCAGCCATGTCTGGATGAGAAAGCCCCTCTGGCCACAGAGGAAGTCTTGCCTGCACAGTTTTCCCTGATCCAGGCTGAAGCCAGTTACTGGGAAACATCTCTTTCCTGTCTGGATGGGGACAGTGTCCAGAAAGCCCAGCAGTCCTGTCCCCTCTGCCTGGCCATGCCAAACCTCCCTTCTGCTGGGCTCTTCCTTTGCTTAAAGAGTGCCTCTCCCACCACTTCCCTCTCTCCTAGACCCTACTCTGGGGAGCCAGCCTGGGGCTCTGCCCTTCCCAGCAGCCCTCAGATGGGCCACAGTCCTACCTGTCTCAGCTCCAGGTCGGACATGGCTCTTTTGCCGCCCCTCGGGCAGTTCTGGAAGTAGCAAGCAGAGCTGAAGGCCAGCAGGCCGAGGAAGCAGACGGGTAGCATGGCATCAGGCATCCTGGCGCAGGTGGGCACAGTGTGCGGTGCTGCTCTGTGGACTGTGCTGCTCTGCCTTCACTGGCACCCTATTTATGTCTGCAGGTGTTCCCTGGAGCCAAAGTGGCTGCTGCCACCCTCCTCAGTGGCTCCCCAGGAGCCCACGGGGCCGCCAGGTCCCAAGCCGTCATCAGTGATTCAGGCGTCTGGGGACACACGTGGGCCTGTCTAAGCAGGGGGTGGTGGGGGAGGGTTGCAGGCCTCCAGGCTGTCACTGGCAGCCATGTGACAGGAGCTGCGGTGACTGTGATTGCGGCTCTCTGGACTCCAGGAGAGGGACAGATGGGGATTGCCTGGAGACAGTCCCTAAACTTTCTGGCTGCCCAGAAGAGGCTGGGGTCAACAGGCTTCATTCCCCAGCACAGCCCCCTGAGAAGGAGCAAGGGGCACCTGATGGGTTGGTGTGGAAGGTCAGGTGTGTAGGGTCAGGCCCTGGCCCAGGAGTGGTGAGGCAGGGGATAGTGAGGCATGCAGGACCCCCACAGGTCCTGCACAAGACAGCACACACCCAAGGTGGTGTGGACGGAGGGCTTTGTACTCGCTCCGCCAGGAACGGAAACAGCTGTCTGCAGCCCTATGGACCAGGCAGCCCCAGTCATGGACACAGGCAACCAACATGGCATCAGGGGGCCAGTCCCCCAGTGGGTGGGGAGGAGGCTCCCGGCAGAAGCTGGCGATAGTCCCACCCTAAGCACATGAACAGAGCAGGGTCCAGGGGACTAAGAGACTAGGGGCCTTGGGGACAACTTATTGGCATATCCCCATCACTCTGTCCCAGGCAGGAACACTGGGGAAGGGGAAGCTTTTTTTGGGGGAAAGGAGATAGCCAGACCCAGGAAGGTTCAAAAGTGGGGTGAGCACCGCATGTAACCTGGTAGCTAGCCTGCTCCAATTCCTACCCCCACCAGGACCCAGAGCCAGTGCCATCTCAGGCCTGGAGTAGGAGTAGAGGCACAGGGGCTTTGGGGCTGGAAGAGAATGGAGGGGAGGAGACAGCCAAATGGGCCCAGCTTGCCCGAACTGCTGAGGCTGGTGGGCTTAAGGGGCCATAGACTCCCTGTGCCAGGCCTTGGAGTGCCCCTCTGGTCCTTGGATCCAGGCAAGCCACCCCACACCTCTAGGGCTTCCCACAGCCCCAGCAAACCTAGCCCCCGGCTCTGGGCCTCCTCTCTAGGTGAGGCAAGGAAGCTCTGGGCACACAGCTGTCTCTATCCCACCAAGTGCCATGAGGGGTCTAGTGTCCCATGCAGGGGCCTTTCACATGCAGGACCTGATGCTAGGGTTTTCAGGACATCCCCTTAGGTGCTGTGAGAATGATGGAGCCCAGTGGCCTGTTGGAATCTGGCCTCTGTTGCTTGAAACTTCATGATTTGGGCAGGTCACTTGACCTCTCTGTGCCTCCTTGACTTGTGAAGTCAGAGCAACCCAGGACTCACTCCTACAGCTTTCTCCTGGTAGGTCATTGCTTCTAACGCCATGATTTTATATACTCTGTACAAACTAATGATCCCCAAATTCCTATCTGTATCCTGGGCCCCTCCCTGATGCCAGGCTTGCCAGTACAACAGCCTAGAGACACCTCCCCTTGGATATTCATTAGGCCTCTCCACCTTACCATGGCCAAACTCAACTCCTGCTATTTAGCTGCTCCCCCACTCTCTCACAGGGTTTCCCCAGCTCTGCAATCACATCATCCTACCAGCTGCTGCTCCCCAAACCTTGGGACTCACCCTGGTCCTTCTCTTTCTCTCATTCTGTGTTAGGCCTAACTCTAAAATATATATCTCAAATCTATCTGCTTTGTTCTGCTCCTGCTTTGGAATCTCAGAACCTGCTGTTTCCTTGCCCATGAAGGCTGGCCTGCCTGCACCCTTCCCAGGATTCACCTGGCTGCCTAAGGGTCATCCCTTAAGAGGAGCATTCCCTGACGTCCCACCTGGAGCATTAAGTATGGAATTGGCTCTGTTTTCAATTTCTAATTTTGATTGGTTTCTGATTTTCAATTGGGTGCATGTTGAACAGGTTTAATAGCAACTACATTTTGCAGTTCATTGATTAGCCTACTTATCTTTTTTTTATGTGTACCTGTACTCCCTCTAGAATGAAAGCCCCAGGGCAGAAGGTACTGTGTCCTGTGGCGCCACGCCTGGTGTAGTGGGTTTTCAATACATTGTTTAAGGAAGGCAGGAGGGTAGGGAGCCCTGGGTACCAGCCTCAGCTCCCGAGGGAATTACTGCATGACCTTGGGAAAGTCACAGCTATTCCCAAGGCTCCTTGCTCCATGTACTAACACTGCTTCCTATCTCACTGAGGGCTCTTGGGAATCAGATGAAGGTGCTGTAAAAGGTTAAGATTTTCTGAAATCTTTACATAACAAAGAGTTGCAAACCTCCAGATTAAAGCTCGACTTTCAGTATGTTATTTAAAGTACTCCCTTACCCTTAGACTATCTTTTCTGAGAACAGGTAACAGTTAATTGCCCCAGTCCACACACACTTGTTTCTTATTCCCTTTTTCTCAGTATCAACCAAGTGTCTGTACCTGCTGCCTTTGGGAATTTCCAAGGGGCTCTGCTGCCAGCAGCAAGTAGGGCTTCTCTCTTCTCATCTGTTTTCCGTTGGTCTTACGTGAAGACCCCCAACAGTGTAGACAAACAAATTCCCAGTAAACTATGAAGAGGTGCCCAAAAGTGAGAAAACGTTAGAGGAGCCCAGGAACTGCTCACTGAATTGAATCAGAGAGGGTGCATTGAGCCTGGGGAACAACAGTGAGAGAAGTGCTGGTACGCCCTGAAGCAGATCCACACCAAGAATGAGAAGGAAAAAAAAGGCCTTCAATCAGATACTGGGAGCTAAATGTGAATGTCTATCAGATGTCTAGAGAGGATTCCTTACAGTAAGCTTGAAAGAAATCAGAAATGACAAGACCTCATAAAAATTCTTACTTGCAAACAAACTAAATATAACTATAAAGCAGAATATACTATATATAAAGCAAGCTAAGCTAAGAAAAATATTTTCGACAGACTTTTTTATATTAAAAGCCTGTACAGCGGCAGGATGGGTGGATTCGTACCCGGGGACCCTCAGCTCCAGCTCCAGGTCCCCCGTGGCGGCGCCTGGCGTCCCCGCTTGGGACAACGGCTGCTGCTGCAGGGATGGCAGATGTGGCCCCTTTGCTGGGCTGGGAAAGGGCCAGGGGTACCCGCATACATGCCCTCCCCGCACGAAGCAGGCAGACAGAAGGCAAGGAATGCCCATGGGCTGAGGGGAGCAGAAGGGACAGTCAGAAGGAAAGAGGAAGCGTCGGGGGCCTTGGGGACTGGACGGGCGGGCGGCGCGCGACGCCCGGGGTCAGCGCAAATTGGTCGGCGCAGCCCGGGCACACGCACCCTTCCCGGCGGCGGTGAGCTGTGCCCTGACTGCTAAGCGCCGCGTGAGCGCGGCCCGCGAATCACTGGGCGCCATCAGCCTCCGGGCGGGGCGGCCGCTCTGTCCCGGCGCCCGCGGCCCCGCGCCCCGCACCTGCCCCGCCGCGGCGGCGGAGCAGAGCGGCCGCACCTAAGCGCCGGCTCCGGTCCGAGAAAGGGGCGCAGAGTGGCCGGGGCCCTGGGGTCAGGGAGTGGGGTCAGGAGAGCTTGGGGCGGCGGTCGGGGAGAGGCCGGGGGTGGGGGAAGGAGACCAGGCGGGCGGGACGCCGGGTGAGCGCTCTGGGTCGCGGCCAGGCTTCTACCTCAGCCTCTCCCTTAATCGTCACCGAGCTCCAAAGACCCACCTGCCAAAGGACTCCAGAGTCCCACCAGAATGTGTACGTCAGTTTGCACTACGTTCTGGCCCTTCCTGGACAAGCCTACACACCCCTCATGTTCTTGAGAGTCTGTTGCTAGCCCTTAACTCCTGGTTCTGTGTTCTATGTCAGGTTTTGGAAAATTTAAGCAAAAGGAATTTACCGGAAGACTTACTGAGGAGAGCTCATAATTTAGGGGACAGCTAGAAAACCAGGCTTAGAAACTGAGTCGTTCTGGAGGGCCACCAAACATGAACCCAGGAATGTCTTCTGAAGTGGATGGTCCCCCAGAAGCAGGACATGGGGGTTCTTGCACCCAGGCTTTCTGGGGTGGGATCTCAGGAGTGAGTGAAGCTGGACAGGGCAGGGGAAGAAGCCAGGCAAAGAGGTGATCTTGGCTGGAGTGTAGCCTCAGCCTGATCCCACGGGGAGCTCCGGTCTGTGAGTGGCATCACAGAGTTGCCCTACCTTGAGGCAAGAGGGTTGATTCCTTTCCTACTTGCTTATTAGTTTTGGCCAAGGAGGTTGTGGGGAGGGTATCTCCCAGGCATGTTCTCCGTGAGGAGGGTCCCTGGCAGATGGCAAGCTCAGGAGACAGGTCAGCTGTAAGCAACCAATATTCACAGCATCTGGGGGGACCAATGCGGGCTCAGAATTAACAGCACCCACTAGAGGATGACAAGTGCTTTCAGCCATCTCTCTGCTCAGATTCACATTCCAAGGAGGGGCACCTGATTAGGCTTAGCCTGGGGGCCCAAAGGCAGCTCAGCTGGGACTTTCAGCTGCCTGTGGCCTGTGAGGCTTCTCACAGCTTGGTGGCCTTGGGACAATGGACTTCTGGCATGGTGGTGCAGGGCCCCAAGAGTGTTCCAGCAAACAAGGCAGAAGTGATGTGGCATTCTGACAGCATTGGAAATCACATAGGGTCACTGCTGCCACACTGGATCAGTACATTGGTCACAGTGGCCACAAACCTGTCCAGAGTCGAGAGAGCAAGAGTGCCCATTGCATGGGTGGAGCGCCAGATCATTGGCAACTGAGCGTTTAAAACTATCCCAGTGCTGGGAAGTCAGGGGAAGAGGATGAAGATTTGGAATAGATTTTTCCCAGGAGTGTTGAAAAGAGCAGGCCGGGGAAACCACGGGAGGTGGAGGAAGGGGGACTTTGAGGAAGGGTCGCTGAGGAATGCCACAGTGGGAAATTTGGTTGCTGACTCTGGGCTTCTCTGGCTCCAGATCACTCCAAGACTGACCACCTTGGTCACAGCTTTGCAGGCACTCTACAGACCAGGCTGGAGCAGACCCAGCCAGGCCGCACCCAGCCCACCTCCCTGTTTCTTAGGTGGAGGAAACATT